GTCTCTGCGGGGGCGCCCCGGCCGGCTGTCGGTCGCAGCGTCCCGGCGCTGCCCGGACAAATTAGCGGCGCTGACAGCGGCAATAGCGGGAGCCGCGGCGCCGCAGCCCGGCAGCGGCAGCGGCGCCAGAAACTACAGCAGGAGCCGCGGTAACCGGGCTCGGTGCAGTGCCGCGGTAACCGGCAGCGGTGTCAGAAACTGCAGCAGAGCCGCGGCAGCCTGGCGGCGGCAGTGGCACCAAAAACTGCAGCAGGAGCCGCGGCAGCTTGGTGGCGGCAGCGGTATTAGAACTGTAGCAGGAGCGACAGGCAGCTGGGCGGGGGCAGCGGCACCAGAAATTGTAACGGCAGCCAGCACCAGAACGTACCAGTGTGACTGCGGTACCAGTGCGCTGAAAATGTAGGTTAATTGCTTCAAAGGATGCGGTGCTTGAAGGCTGGTGTGTGCTAAAGTGTTAGACGTAAATACACAAGTACTGATGCAAATTTGTCCCGACTGAAAATACAAACAATATTGGTAAGCCTTACGCTATATTTGCAATGCTTTGTCACAAAGTCCAATACCATAAATGAACAAATCCCAAAGTGTTCGGGCGCTACAGTCCGCGAGGCTTGGCTTGTGTGGCGTGCCCGGCGGGCCAGCCCTAGCACCCGCGGCACTGCACGGTGTGCGACCGCTGCTCCCTTAGCTGAACACGGGCCTGCAGGCGACCAAAACACATCCATCGCGCGGCCGACATTCCATGATGATGCATTCCAGCCGGTCCTGAGGCCTCCCGCCCGCCTGTTCCTTTGTATTAGCTCCATTATTCTGCGTCACGGGCCGGGGGCTGCCTTTTGTGCCCCGGGCGACACGGGGCGCCTCTGCGCAAATGTTCGGCTTCATCATGGTCATGGTTTTGTATCGTGATTTTGTTCTCAGCTGATATGTCCGCGTCGATACACGACTTGCATTCGGCGGAGTCCCAAGCATGACTGACCGGCTGGCCCGAGCGAGACCTGGCACGACCCCCCCCCCCCCCCCCAACCAAGTGACCGGGGTCTTTGACGTCACCCAACTTGACAGGACACCTCACCACCCCGACACCGAAAAACAGACCATGCCAGGAGAGTCGCAACACTGCGCAAGAAATAAATCCGATGCCCAAAAATGCACCAAACAATGCCAAAAGAACCAATTTAAGAATGTGCACGCACATGACGGAGCGCGAGAGTCTTGAGAGAACGCACCTAACAATACCGAGCGCTTAACACGCACCCGGGTGGCCAGCTAGTTACCCTTCGCTCGGGGGTCAATTTGACCCCCCCCTCCCTGAGATCTCAGGAACTAAGAAAGCTAGAGACACTTAATTTGCAGGGTGTCTTGACCTATACGTGAACCCACTTGATCAAAGTTTGAGCTTCCTAGGTCATGAGCTTCAGGTCAAATAAGGCCAAACAAGGTCACATTCTAGGTTGGTCACGAAAGTGCTCCCAGAATCTAAGAAACTGTTTCTAAGCAAAAGGTCAAAAGCCCATTTGAGGTCAGTGACCTTGTTTGATTTTTTGAATGTCATGGTGACCAAAATCACACAAGATTGCTCTGAGTTCTGCATTTGAGTAAGCGACAAAGATTACGCTAGGCAGTATGTTCATAAAACAAAATGTCGACCCGGGTCATCTTAGGTCAATAACCTTTTCTGACCCCTAAGAAGTCAATGAAAGATGTATAATGCGGTTCCTGCTGCCAATAAATTGGGAATAAGCGCCACAAACTATCCCATACAGCAAGCCCTAGAGTAATAAATCAGGTTGGTTGTGACCTTGGTCTGACCTTCATACCTGACCTGACCTGACCTGTCTGACCTGAGGCCGTCTCTGTCCGAGAGAAGACCGTCTCCCAGATCACGGCTGGTCAGCGTCGACAGACGGCGCCGACGGATTCGCCTCTGCGTCTGGTGGGACCGCGGGCGCCCAGCGAACCCACGGTCCCACCAGCGTCGAGTTGTACGGTCCAGCAATGATCCCACAGTTGGCCAGCTCTGAGCTCTACCCCGCCAGGCCCGGCTGTGTTCGCCAGTTCTGAGCGCTGTTCCGCCACCTATGAGTGCGGTTCCGTCACCATTAAGCGCTGTCCTGACACCTCTGAACTCCGCCCTGCCACCGCTGATCTCTGCCTCTCCAGCTCTGGCTACGTCCCGCCACCTCTGATCTCTGCCCCGCCAGCTCCGGCTACGTCCCGCCACCTCTGATCTCTGCCCCGCCAGCTCCGGCTACGTCCCACCACCTCTGACTTCTGTCCCGCCAGCTCCGGCTACGTCCCGCCACCTCTGATCTCTGCCTCGCCAGCTCCGGCTACGTCTTGCCACCTCTGATCTCTGCCCCGCCAGCTCCGGTTACGTCCCACCACCTCTGACCTCTGTCCCGCCAGCTCCGGCTATATCCCACCACCTATGAGCGCTGCCCTGCCACCTTTGATCGTTGTCCCGTCACCCCTGATCTCTGCCTCGCCAGCTCTGGCTACGTCCCGCCACCTCTGATCTCTGCCCCGCCAGCTCCGGCTATATCCCAGCCACCTATGAGCGCTGCCCCGCCATCTCCGAACGCTGTACTGCTACCTCTGAGCGCTACCCCGCCGCCTTTGAGCGTTCTCCTGCCACCTCTGAGCGCTGTCTCACCACCTCCGAGCTCTGCCCCGCCAGCCCCCGCTATATCCAGCCGCCTCTGAGCGCCGTCTCGTCACCTACCGGCGCCGTCTCGCCAGCTCCAGCTCTATTCCGCTAGCTAGCTCTGAAGGCCGTCCAGAACGCAACGTCCCTGCAGGGACGCAGCCGGCATCAGTGATGCAAATCGTTCCCATTTCGCCGGCGATCAGTAGTCGGCCGGAGCGCGCTCGGGCAGCCGGGTAGGCGTACCGAGCAGGCGCATGGCACGCCAGCCTGTGGCACGCTCCGGCAGTCAGGCAAAGCAGGTATCGAGCAGGCGTCTGGCGCGCCCGCCGTGCGCCAGGCGCATCAGCCTGTGGCACGCTCCGACAGCCGGGCAAACGTACCGAGCAGGCGTCAGGCGCGCCTGCCGTGCGCCAGGCGCACCAGCCTGTGGCACGCTCGGGCAGCCGGGCAGATGTGTCGGGCAGGCGTCTGGCGCGCCTGCCGTGCGCCAGGCGCACCAGCTTGTGGCACGGCTCGGTAAAGTTCCGCTAGCTGGTGAGGAGAGTCCTCCTCTTGAAGACGATGCATATGCATGGCTGATGCTGCTGCTGCGGGTGCGGTCTGCGGTGTGAGCCCGAGTTTGGGGACAGCCGGAGAGCGAGTCATCCGCGACACTACCTGGTGAGTGTCTTCGCCAGAATAATAATAATGCTGCTCAAACTTGTTGGGGGCACGATGGATGGTATAACTGCCTACTGTTGGACATGTTTAGGGAGTATTTTGGGATTGTCCCAGATATTCTAAATGAATTTGAAGGCTTCCTTTTACAATTGTTACAAGCCGTCACTAACATCTGGAACATCCTGGATGTTCCTACGCCGCAGAAACCAGTTTTTCAAACAGTTTTTCTTTTTTTCAAACAAACCTTCATCAATGCGCATTGGTGAAGGACAGAAAGTCTACGCCATTGTTAGCAGCGAAAACCAGCCCCAGGAGTGTTAGTTATGATAGGACCACTGAAGAGCGCGTCAGCTACTGGCGCATTTCGCGCTATCGGAGAGTGGTCATTGCTTAGTCACGTGTTTTATTAGTTGTTGAAATTGCTCTTAAATACGAGCTGATTCCTATTGATTAAGCAACGCACGGCAGCAAAGTAGTAAAAATTACATCTTGGCACATCTAGTATATGCTTGTTCCTTGAGTATTGTGATGTGACATAGACTTCGATATAGTTCTAGTCCATATTTTATGAGCAGCGATCCGGAGTCAACGCAACAAAATGGTTGATGCCACTAAGCGCCCGTTGCAAATACCACAGAAATACATTGATTACCTTGATAGGCACGAAGTGCATCGCATGGTAGAGCGAATGTACGAAGAATTGCTGACCAACACGCCGTCAGACCCCCTTGCATTCCTCGTGAACTATTTCAACCAGGAAGGCGCAAAATCCGGAGGTGCCCAAAATTTTCATCCGCAGCTGTGACCAGGGCGAGGAGATGGACTTGGCCATGGCAGTCGCGGCGAAGACTGGGGCCATGGTGCTCTCTCGTCACGAGACAATCTATGACGTCACCGAGAGCAATCCCGACCTCAAGCAGCAGCTGCAGGACAACGGAGGGGCCGTCAGCCCCGACCTCCTCGCTCAGATCATCCTGGCCAAGACGCGGGAGGACGAGTGCGTGCGGTGCGGCTGGGTGCTGACGGGTGCCCCCGACAGTCGCGACGAGGCGGCCCGGCTGCAGGCAGTCGGCGTGCTCGCTGACCACGCCTTGTTCGTGTGCGCCGAGCCCGTGACTCGGCCGCCGCCGGCGCTGTACAGACCACCGCAGGGGCCCGGCGCCGAGCGCCAGCTGTTCGCGCGCCGCGTCCGCCTCATGCTGCCCGACTGCGGACCCGGCGCGCGCGTGTTCGTGACGCGCAACGGCGAGTACGACGTGCGCGAAGACGTGCTGCAGTTTGTCGGCAGCCGCGGCCGCGAGCGGGCGTCGCTCATCCTGCGCGTGCTGCTGCTGGGCCTGCCGGGGTCGGGCCGGCGTACCCAGGCGGCGCGTCTCGTCGCCCGACACGGCCTGGTGCTGGTTCACTGCGGCACGCTGGTTCGCGCCGCGTTTAAGACCCGCTCACCCGAGGGCCAAGCCATTGAGGACGCCATGCAGAGCGGTATGCCCCCACCCGAGGAGCTGGTGCTGTCGCTGGTGCGGAAGCGGCTGCTGGCCGACGACTGCCGGCGGCGCGGCTGGGTGCTGGTCGGCTACCCGCGCACCAGCTTCCAGGCGGAGCTGCTCGCCGACTCGGACACCTTTCCCAACCGCACTGTGCTGCTGGACGTGCCGAAGGACGAGTGCGTGTCGCGGCTGTCGTCGCGCCGCTTCGAGCCCGCCTCCGGCCAGGTGGTGACCCTGACGGACGGGCTGTGCCTGCCGCAGGAGGTGGCTGCTCGCCTGCGGCGGCACCCGCGCGACGAGCCGCGTCGCCTGGCCGTCGACGCCGACGCGCGGGTGGCTGAGCTGCGCGCCGTCGTCGCCCTGCTCGAGCAGCACGTACAGACCGTGGACGGCACGCGCGGCGAGGCCGAAGTGGCTGAGGCCATTGAGAAGATCACCGTGTTCCAAACGCCTAAGTTCCTCCAGTGATGGGGTTAGTCCCCTCTTAAAAACATCAAAAGCACCGGCGCTTGACGTTTGTGATCTCTCCTGTGTCCTCGCATGAAGCGATCACATTTGTGAAATGGCCGGCGTCTGTCTCGCGGGGTCTGTGCTTGGTCTGGCGCCCGTAATGCCAGCAAAAGACCATCGGGAGCGTCCTCCAGGATAAAAGCTGGCAAATCTGTCTGTAATTGGAAAGCCGGTTGGTGTATTAGTTATTCTAAAAACAAAAAAACGAACGCAAGTGACGGAGCGTCCCTGGAATCAGCGTGTGTGCATGTGAATCCATGGATGGCCTAGTTTTCTCATTTTGCTACCACTTCTCGCAAGGTACCGGCGCACTCAATCGCCATTTTCGCGAACCTGTAGTGGTCCTAAGCGACGGGCGCCTCGTCCTAGTTTGTAAGCGTTTGCTGCATGGAGGTAAATATCGGAATGTATTCCTCCCCAGAATGCAGTTGGCTACCTTCCAAAATTAAGTCGAGAAAAATCATTACAACATTGACCTGGCCCGTGTTCCTTTTGGTTCCTTTTCTGCCCTAAAGAACTCTACCTTCTTGCATAAATCATGATTACAGTCAGCGATTTCCTCTGTAACTAGGTACTGGAGATGCACTAAACGTTCGTTAATGGTAGTCCTCAAACGTGACCAAGAGAGCCTTAACCTCCCCGACGAAAATGCATGCGCTAGGTGTTTCGCGTCTCGAGTCTTGGAAGTATGGCTAGTCATGGGCCATTGGTGCGGCTGATCAAGCCGATATGGTGGACCGATCACCGTGTGATGTTCAAATCAATTCGTGCTCACCGCTGACCGTCACCAGTCCTGTCCTGGTTTCGGGCCAAGTCCGTTTATCACAGCGGTGAGACGATGTGTTTGAATGTCGTTTTGCTTAAGTTCTCAAAATGTGCACGCATACAGGTTGGCCAGAGCTTTCCGCAGTAGTTTCCTGTCGAATGAAGCCTGCTTTCTGTCCCTCTCCTTTGGAGTGAATTCATCCCTAAGCATGTGATTGTAAGAGCAGTTGTGGCTTTTCTGACATCCACCATCATCGGCAAAATGTGCCAAGAAGTCAGTTTTTCCATGTCACTTGATTTGCTTTGGCAGTTATGCGACGCATTAAATGGGATGTTTTTTGACGTCAGAGACGTTATCGACAACTCATCTCTTCATGCGTTATGTTCAGCTGTGGCTAGAGCTTCTCCAATCGGTTTTCTAAATGTAAAAACTGGATGAGAGTACTGGCGATGCACTGTAGGGCATTGGAGCTCCGAAGTCGACGAAAGACATCTGCACCGCAACACTGTCGGAATGAGAAAAAAGACAAGGCAAGGGATGGTAGAAAGGGAGAGGCGGTTAGCTTGCCAGAGATAGCCAGAGAGGATGAATAAGATGGGGCAGAACAGATATAATTGTACGAAACGCATACGGGACAAGAGAAGAAGGACAGGACAGAGCTTTTTGGGGAAAACTGAAGGAAAACTGTTGTGCTGTTGCCATGGACATCGGTGACGATCCTCCAGCTAAAATGTAAATAGCAGCGTTTACCGACAATAAATGAAGCACTGGCCTCCATCATTCACGTCCAAGTTCCCTTCCAATTGGCGCGGATATAATTCGGAATAAAATCGCCGGTGCAAAGCGCACGTATTCGCAAGAAAAAACTAGAGGACCGTGAATATTTTTTTTATAAAAACCACTGTTGAAACAAAAATGGTTTCCCTGAAACTGTTATCAACGGCTTCAGAGCGTCATCAGCAGACAGGATTTCATTCAGAAGGCCAAGGTGGGTCGCATAGATGTAATCTCAAAACAATGTTTACTATTGAGCAGTATTATTTTGCCTTTTCAGTCAAGCAGTCTTTCGGCTTTTTTGTTTCTATACGTGCTTGTTTTGTTTTAATTCGGAAAACCGTTTTAGGCTCGGAATCCTAGTTTGAAGCCTCGGGGCCCTTTCTATCGTCTTATAGACCTACGGCGTTCACAACCGTAAAAAGTACTGATACCCTGCCGTCTGCAGAGAAATTTATGGCCCCAAAAGATAGTTTTTGGCTACGACAACGCGCAAACGTATCATCTATGCAAATTGTCACTTACGATAAATGCTTACGAAATTTTGCGTGCAAACTCTTGTTAAAGGTATCTAAATCATGGCAAACGTTTCCACGCGAACAGCTGTGCACGCACCTTATACATACAGCTTTTTGCACTCGAGTATTTTGCATGCAGCCCTTTACATACGAACTTTTGTCTCGACGAGCTTTTGTCAAAAAGAATGCTTCACATACGTACTAAATAACATATAAATGTTTTTTGCTAAATTTTCGACAGGAACTTTTGCGTACGTTCTTCTACCATACGACGTTTATAGGTACGAGCGTTGACTTACAACAAATTACGTACATTATGCATGCATACGCCATGTTTCATACAAACCTTTGTCCTAAAATCAATGATACGTTTTCACGGCAGCGTTGAGGCCCGACCCTTCCGCAGAGCGGCGTAACGAGCGCACCGGTAGAGGACTCTGCTGTCGGCCCAAAACGCATCGACGCAAATACGCATCGCTAACTGCGCTGATGGTGTGTACAATAAGGACTATACTGAGCACACTACAACTGAATATCATGCTTGGTATCGGCAAGACAGGGCTTCAACTCTTGGTTTCTAGGCATTGGAAGAGATTCCCGTTTGCCTCGCTATGCAGGCGAGGGGATGGTGTCGGTGGCAATGGCTCTGCAGGCAGAGGCCCGGCGTTGGTAGCGTAACCGCGGCAGCTGCGTTAAAGGTCAGGTGACGTAAGAGGGCAGGACAGGCCGTCAACAGCTTTCGCCACCAGATTCTACCTTTGACCTGAATGATAGGGGTCAAGTCTCACACAGCAAGCACTGTTTGGTGTCAGCTCTGATCCATTTCATGCATACATTATAAAGGTTCCGATCATTTTTTAATGTATGTGCAAATTCATAAAAAGGTAGGGGCATTGCGTTAACATGTACCCCACGATCGGAAAGCACAGGCACCCTTAAATGGAGCATTCCATATTTGTATGGCGTTTTGAACTGAAATCGCTGACTTGAAGGCACTCGGTATAGTTTACAGCCCTGTCTTTTTTAATATCTAAATTCCTTTAGTTTCCGAGCTACATGCTCTAGAAGATGTGTTAACTATTTCGGGGAGAATATTTCATGGTCACGCGGGCATACATGACGCCATAAAAAGGTCATTCAAATTCTCCCATTCCATTTGTCATGCGGCGATCGGGGCAAAGAAAATAATTGTCGAGTCGTTGATATCCGGCGTTCCGTGAGCACGATTTCCAGATAAGATCTGTAAAAGCACCACGCTTTTGCGCTGAATTCGGCGGCCACCTATGACATCTACCGCGCTCACAATCACTGGTGCAAATAAAAGAACGTTTGTGATTGGCTCAGTGGGCTACGGCCTGTCACCGAGAAGCTGGTTGGTTAAAGCTTGAGCCAGTGCGTCACATGAATAGGTGTGCTACTCCTATTCCCAATGCCGGAATGCGCCTCGAAAAGAGCGGATCTGGGCAACGCTGCAGGGAAGAAATCAAAGCTATAGTTTATATATTTCTAGATGAGGCAGTATCAATAGCCCTATTCCTCGTACAATAGACGGGAGAATGGAGAGATAGATGGGATATTTCGGCTAAGTGCCTTTATCGAAACGAACATTGGTAGCAAATTGAAGAAAACTGACATTACTGATGAATTCGTGCGCTGTAATGTAATAAACAGTGAGTGAAAAGAACAAAAAGGTGCGATGCCACCTTTAAGACGTGTCATGCAAGATTGACAGCACCCATGCGAAAGAAGGGAACCTGTAACGTCTGCTAAACGAAAGAAATTGAATGCGTCGGAGGATTAAACTCTTATCCATGTGCTTCACTTCAGCACCGTCGTGAGTCACACTCAAATCGTGATTCGTTCCCGTGTGTCGCGTTCAGTCCGGCATTCCGGTAATTTGTTGGTAAATATTTCGTCCTGGCAACGCAGTTATCACGTGCGCTTTGGACTCATGTATTTCGGTTAGGAGCACTTCGGACTGAATGGCCAGTTATTTCCTGTAGACCAATAGCATCGCCTCACGGCGACTCACATTGCCATAGGCCTGGTCCGAGCGTGGTTCAAGCTATGGTGCAATTTTACCATACGCCCAATTTTTATTGCCCAAGATCGGTATGTAAGCGGGAACAGGCTTTTGGCTCCGAAGCCGAGTTCAAAGTCAGGGTCACGACATGACGTCGAAATCGGCGTTGAAGCCAGTGGCTCTGGAGTTCGGACGTTGACAGTCGACTCCAAAGTCAGCAGGTCATTTTTCCAATAACGCTGGGTTCGAAGCCGTTTAGTTGGGACGTTTCCATTGCGGAGCCTAACCAGAGCCATTCAACTTAAAATAAAGACCCCGAAAGCCACAGCCGAATGTAATGCACAAAGTTGTTTTGCGAAATCCAAATAACTTTTTCCGTTTGTCTAAGCTGCAAGATGTCATCACAAATCATAATTTTGGTTCTACAAAGTAATTGAGGCGGGGTTTAGGCATTGCAGATGGGTGATTTCGCAGGCTGTCGCCCTTACGTGTGTATTGTGCACGCCTGACAACGGCCGAAGAATTAACCGGCCGAAAACTTTTTGTATATACTGGCACGCCAAGATAACAATAGTCCGACTCCGAACAATGGCAATGGTTCAATCCGTGTTGATAATGCCTCGTCACAATTTTTCTGCCAACCCAGAACCTGCGGCTTCGCGAAGTATGAGCCGAAGTCGGCTTCGGCCCCACACCTAAGCCACATGTGCATTTCCTGAAGTTAGTGCTCGCAGCCTACCGAGAGCAAAAGAAAGCTGGAGAGGGTGTCCCCCCCCCCGATCAAAATTCCTGGATCCGCCCCTGTAGCCAAGAGGCAGTCTCAAAAGCAGAGCCTGTGTGATAGCCAACGTCCTACATACGCTTTTATTATATCTTAGCAAATAATGGGGGTCCAAGCCAACACTGGGAACAGCTCAACATTGGGGCGGGGGGGTGCCGAGTACTCGCAAATGAATACAAATTGACTACCCGTCGCTTCCAGCGCAACAGCAAAAATTGCACTTCCGGCAGAAATGTCTGAGGAAGAAATGTCAAAAATGCCTGTGCTTATCAAAAATGTAGCAAAAGTGGAATGTTACGGTCTAAAAGAACAGCAAAGGGAATCACAAAGATCAGGTACAACTTCGCGTAGAAGTCAGGACCCGCCGACATCAATCCAAAAGTTGGCCCAGGAAGTTGGTACGAATCCAACAACCGTATGGGTAGTTTTAAAAAATGATCTCCAACCTTCTTCCTATGGAATGATCATCCCCAAGGACCTGGCAGAATCCCGAAAATCAGTTGAGCATGGGATTTGTCAGCTGCGTGAAGACGGTGGCAAATGGTTTGCGCGCCACTGGACAGGCGCGCGTCCTCTACCGGACTCACACCGCGTCGTTAGTGCGGCCGTCGTCCGCCAGGCGCCGGGCCGACGCGACCATCTTGACATCGCGCTGGCAGCTGGCTGGGTCACGTGCTGTTGCCGGCCGACGGTGACCAACAGCTGACTGGGCGGCGGGTGGCCGTACCGCCGCCGTCTACGGCGCTATATCGGGGCGGACGGTCAAGGACGAACGGATCAGCTGCCTCCTCGCCTATCGGAACAGAAAGTCGGGCGATAGCGAGAGGCGGCGTTAAAACTGTACGATGCTAACAGAGCTGTATTTTAATATTTCCCGAAATAACGACAACACTGCAAAACTGAAGCGCCTTCTTCCCTCTACACGCACTGCGTGTTCGATAATCGTACAACAGGATATTGAACAAGGTTTTTTATTCGAGCCCTTTCGACCAGAAATGATCATTTCAGGGCTATGGGATGGATGAAAATGGTCAACGGCGGGGCAGATTTGCATGCGTCTGGGGCCACCCGCCGAGCTTTAACCCGCGCACGCGCGTTGTGTACCCCGTCGGGCTCCCCTTCCCCACGGGACTCTCAGCCCACTCGTGGCTGACGCATGCAGCCTGCCCCGGACAAGCGGGGTGTCGCGAGGATGTAGGATGAAGCAAGATTGAGGATAACAGCGACGGATCAGGGTATTGTACAGCAGAATTCGACTTCCCGATGTGTTTTAGTTGTTGCCTGGTAAATTGTAACAGACAGAGCAGAACTTTTCACCCGCGTGTTCTCATAAATCATTATCGGACGAGGCGAATGCCCGCTGTAATGGATGTGCATTGAGGGGTCGTAGTGGTTTGGGTCGCGCTGGGTTTTTCGACTTACATCACGCATTTTTGTCCAGCTGTCAACTCCTGATGCCTGGTCGCGGATTGGTGACACTAATGACTGCCCCACCTCCCTGGCAACGCGGTTAAAATGGTTTCCACGCTGCAGCATAACTTGCAGCTAGACCTGAGCGTAACGTTGCGTTGCTCGCCCCGTCCCTCCTAGCCCTTTCCCCCCCCCCCTCCCGTTACGTTTCGGTTGCGCTCCATAAAAACCTCACTCTCCCGGAGTAGCGTAATTTATGGACAGCTCCATGGAAGATCTCGTATTGCCCCGTTCCTCAGTGTTCACTGGTGGTGAGGCCACTGACTCTCTGCCACTGTGTCCCTGCATGACTGGACGCCAGGTAGCAAGTTTCGTGGCATTGGACGATGCCTGCTGTCAGTGAAGCCCAGCATGCCGGTAGTCGGTAAAGTAATGCATAGAGGTGACCAACCAATGTGGTCAGAAGCCCAGCAGCTTGTCATGAGGGTGTGCCACTGCAGGCCAGTCACGTGTAGCAAGATAAACAAGACTGAACTCAGAAAAAAGTGAGCCCCGGATCACAGCAGCCTGAAGTGCGTGGCTACGCCATGAGAGGATAACAAACGGCACGTGTTTCCACCAGACCAGCAAGGGCTGGAACGCACGGATCCGTGCTATGAAATCAAGAAGGGATCCGCCAATCTGCATACTTATGGCGCAAAACACACTCCAGTTCCGCTGCAAATGCATAAAATAGGAAGAACGAACTACAGCACGTCCACGCATATCACTGCCCCTCTGTAGTTCATCCTGACCTAGTGGGTGGGGCAGAGCAAGGTCATTACGGCGCGGCGTACAAATAAACAGTGCGCCAAAGCCGCCCACCAAACTGGGGCAGGCTCCAGGCTTCCTCTGCTCCATTGCCCATGCCCTCAACCATTGCTCCCTCCGTCCCATAGCCATCGTCGACACAGCCGATCAACATGTCCGCATGTATTCCAGGCGCCTGCTCCACCCAATCGCAGCTCGCCACGTGGCGGCCACGGCGAGCGGGCCGCTCGAGCGGCGCCGGCGCGGCGGCCCGCCGCCGCCCACGAGCGAAGAGCGGGGTCGTCAGCGGCGGCGGGGGCCACGCCGGGCCGGCACTCATACCCGATGTCATGATGATGGAATCAGCACTGAGAGGATTTGATAGCGGCGCGCGCGCACGCGCACGCGGCCGTGCTCGCTAAGTCCGCCGGCAGGGCCGACCCATTGACCTAAGTTCGGCCGGCGGGCCGCTACTTGGTGGAGCTCTCTAGGTAGGCGATCAGATCGGCGCGCTCCCCCTTCTTCTTCAGGCCTGCGAACACCATCTTGGTGCCCGGGATGTACTTCTTGGGGTTCTCCAGGTACACCCAGAGGGTGTCCTTGCCCCAGGTGATACCTGCGGCGAGGGGGCACGACACGGGTAAACGAGGTGGCCCGGGGTGGCTTACGGAACGGCGGGAGACAGGGGCCGAACTCGGCAGCAGACCGGGTTAGACAAGCGAACACGGTCAAACAAGTGGACCGCATACGAAGGGGAACAAGCCAGACAGGGGGTCAGACAAGAGGACGGGGTCTGACGGAGGACCGAGTCAGACAGAAGACCGGGTGAGACAAGGAACAGAGAGACAGTCAGACGACGCTGGGGCAGCGATCGTATTGACAAGACCACCCAGACCCTACACCTGTCCACATGTCCACACATGTCCACGTGTCATGTCCACACACATGTCCATACACACGTTCACACATGCCCGCAATAAAGTGAAGTAGAACCAGTTTTGATGATTCCGGAGTAAGTGTGAGCAGGCGAATAAAATCGCCATTACTATGTCCATGCTACCCCGGTGTTCTACTAGGTGGACGGACATTCGCACCTGGACACTTTCCGCCGATCACCAGTCCGCAAGATATGTGCCCCATACATATATCTCGTCACTGGTTGAGTTTTGGAGTGACACCCACAACATGGCCGCCGCACAATTTTTACTCCTATATTTGGGCCAGTTATTGATTCGGTCTCCCATCATGACGCCTGTGTATCACAGTCCCCTTGAATCAAGTGGATTCTGCGTCACACCTCTCCTAGCGCCCTCACAGGCCACATTTTGTCCCCGGGGGCTATCTGCCTGACCGGTTTTGACACGCTGCGTGCAGCTGACCGGCTCGCACCTTTGCTCTTGTTGGCGTCCGTGTAGGAGAAGCCGGGCGCCTGGCCGGTCTTGCGTCCGAACAGGCCGTTCAGGTTCGGGCCCGTCTTGTGCTTGCCGCCAGCCTCGACAGTGTGGCATTGCGCGCACTTCTGCACGAACACCTTCTTGCCCTTCTCCACGTCGCCCGCGGGAATGTCAGCCATCGTGGATCACCTGCGGCGGCGGCGGCGGCCGGTCAGCGGGGGTGCAAGCGGCGCGGGCGCTGACACAACGCGCACGAACGAGCACTCGCGACGACACAGACCGGGGATGCGGCCTGGGGATGTTGTCAGCAGCGGCCCTGTGTCGCCGCGGCTCAGCGGCTGTGCACAGCGGACGCCCAGCCGGCAGCACAGCCAACAGGAGCGCGCCTGCGGGGGAGCCTCGCGCCGACCCGCGTCGGACCGAGCCGCTGTCCGTCAGCAAGGGTCGCCTACACGGTCCGCGGCGACGGCGGCGCCTCTCAGGCCGGCGACAGGTGACGGCGGGCCGCGCCGGGCCGGCTGGCAGATCACTGACCCAGATGCTGGCGGGTCGGCTGGCCCGGCGCCGGCCGCCTCGCATGCCAGCCGTCTTTATATAGCAGACGGCTCACGGCTATGGAGTCGGTGCGCGCCCTTCACAGCCAGAGCCGGGGACACGCGCAGGCCGCGTCACAGGCCAGGAGATGGGGAGGGGCGGGGGCAAAAAACAATCTGGATCTCTGCGGCACGCAAATGGGCACGCACAGCGTCAATGCATCGAAAAAAACATGTCTCAGCCTAGTCTGCATGTGGTGAAAACCTGCACTCGCGAAGCACGTGTTGTATGCCCCTCAAGAGTACACCGAGGACAGTCATTTCACACCCAGAGGTTAACACGGCAGGCCACGAGCGGTGACGAACGGCCCACAAATGATCGTGCCAGTCACTTCTGCTGGTCATCCATGCGTCTCATTCACGGATAATGCAAGCAGTCAAGCAGCTCCAAGATGGCTTATGTAACGCGAAATTTAGACAGAAATTCGATGTCATTGAGTGAGAAAGGTTGCACTCGCCACTACTAGTCTACGTCCTTTTAATCCAAGCGCATCCGTGCATTGTGCGCAAGGTGAAATGGTAGCACCGTGATTTTGCAAGCACCTGGCTAACCCTGGTGGTTTCATAACCAAAGAGGCTCGCGCACGCGGCTCAACGGTCGGCATACGCGCCAGGTAGGATGGCGTACCGGCAGCTGCACAGCTGCAGAGCTGAGAGCACAGCAGCTGGGCAGATTGGTTGGTAACACGTGCAAAGTTTCGTCTACTTACCGTCTGTTTTAACTTTAACTGTTTTAACCGTTTTGTTTCAACTTCTGTTTAAGGTTCAAAAGCATTTCGGTGCTTAAATCGTGTCCCCACTACGTACCCGCGAGAGGCACCATGCACTGGACCTCGGATCCCACACAAGCCAGCTGGCGACGAACGATTGGCCCCTCCCCCCCCCCCTCCTCAAAAAAACTCCAGCCAGATCCGCCCCTGAGCTCTTTCCATGGACCCCCATAGGTTTATGCATAGCTTGCGCGGAATGCTAGAGTGTCATGCAGCCTCGTTTCTATCGGTTCATACTAACATGATTGGCAGGACTATAGGACAAAAGCCGAGTGGTCAATGATCAAATGAGACCTACCGCACGCGAGTCGTCGAAGGTTTAATATCAACTTGACACGTGTGGGTAGGGATAAATACCGAAATCAAGCTTGGAGAGGCTACATTTCGATATCATCAATACTGACGAATAATCATCAAACTAGAAGATTGTTGAATGGTGAAAGATCTTAAGGCTGATTTCGGCATGGGTAGGTTTAAATATTAACGTAGTCCAGGGTAAAATTTACAAAAGCGTGTCGGACTGCGATATCTGTGGACATGACGGCGCTGATAACACCGCGTTTAAGTTTAGGGACACAAGTTTGATGGCACAAAAAATCGGGCTGAATGGCAAATGAGCATAAATAAAAATGTACCAGGGTAAAATAGGAAAGAAGTAACTGGACTGCTTCATTAAAAAACAAACATGTGCACCACCCGAGAACGAAATTCATGCTTCATAACCATATGTTTAGAAGAGAGCAGGACAAACGAATCATCCGAATATAACCCAAGCCACACACACCGCACCAGCAAACCAGCCTGCTGTCGTAGAGCGCCATCGCATGAGGACAACCAAGGGATTAACGCCCTCTCCACAGAGGGCTTAACGCCCGCTCGCCAGAGGCCGAAGTCCTGACGACTTCGCTCGTCCAGCGTCCCACTGCTGACGTCAGTGGTCACGACTGCGCGGGCAGGCCCACAGCCCTGACCTCGTCGCCGCCGTCACAGGTCAGCCATCGGCGACCTGGACGCCCGCCACGTACCCTGGGGCTGAGCAGCGCGACTCGGCGGCCGCGGACCCCTCGTCTCCCCGCCCCCTTCCCCCCGTCTGACGTCACAGGGGATCCGGCGCAACACGCGATCCTTCCTCGAAGCGTTGCGAAATCCGCCGGGGCGTTCGGGAAGCGAGACCGCGGACGTGAACATTACAGCAGACCTGACGCCCACAGCAGGCCGGCAACAGCAGATCGCTGGCACGCCTGAGTACTCAACTCCGGGTTGACAGCGCACCCGTCCTGTGGTTCCCCACGAAGGCGGAGTGTGCTGGACAGCACCGCATCAGCAAACAGAAACGGAAACGACACGGCAACACGGCTGAAAAGCCGCTGCAGCAGCCTCCCTCACCACGGACAGTACCCTATCTCGATCACGCGGGCGTCGCGTGACCTGGCGGGCTGCGAAGGTCGCACTCGGTGCCGGTCGGACCCGGTGCTCCCGGCGCACACTTGCGCGCACCGCGCCCTCGTAGTCTCCACGCTACGGTACAGCCGAGCGCGGAGCATACGTCGGTCGATGGCACGGCCCGCTCGCCCGCCCACGCTCGAAGGTCGCGTATCGGAGTGCAGGCCGGGCCCGCCCGGCCCTCACCGCTGGAGGGCCGAGCGACGGAGTGCAGGCACGGCCCTCGCTGCATCACCACGGGCTTCGCGACACAACCCCGAGGCACATCGCCAGAACAGAATCTGAGTCCAGGTGTCGAAGTGGAACAGCCAGACATGTCAGCTGTAAAACCGGACACAATTCCCGGAGCTAAGCATGGACACAGTCGTGCCGGGTACATGCCATAAAGCAGGCATATTCCGATGTGAATCGCGGCTGGGAGTGGCTTCACGGTGAGCCGGCACGTGACGGAAGCTTCGCTCGGCCGTGGGCAGGCGAGGTCTGGCCCGCTCGTGGCGGGCCGGCAGCGGCGGGCGCAGGGCCCGCGGTGGGGAGAGCTTAGCAACTGCGACTGGTAACCGGGCTTAGCGCGCTGCAGCCCCGCCGGCCTTAGCACGGCGTAAAACCACATCGAATGATCTCCACCTGTCAAACTCGGCATCCATAAATGTTGTCTGCTTCGTTTTCATTTTTCATTTGCCTGCTCCAGATTCGTAATTGTCCACACGTATTAACGCACCCGTTAATGCATGTCATCAATTCGATAGCGGGATGCACTTGTCCATCCCCCTCCCCTTGGGAGCTTCTACGTCAATGCGCCCATGGTGATAGGGAAGACCCGCATTGGCCGGCGCAATCAGAACGTCACCGGCCAGCATGCCAGCAGAGCAGAGGCGTTGCGTTGCTACATGAGTTGGGGAGCTGAGCAGCGAAAGCTTACGAAATCTACCCCCAGAACACGTCAACAAACGGGTTCATTGCTGGATTTCCCCTGCTCTCTTCGCAAGGTTTGTAGGAGGGAGCTGGAGCCCCCTCCCAGAACTGAATAGGAAACTACGTCTCGGCAGCAATCTTGCACCGCCTCGCACCGCTCAGACATGCACTGGGGACCACGGAGCTCAAGCCGCCCGCACGGACCCCGTGACCGAGCGCCACAGCCACACAAGAAACCGTCACGGGCCCAGAACGACTAACAGATAGCAGACAGCAGCGTGGATTACAGGACCATCGAGTGCCAGTGGCAGCCGTGGTCTCCCCGACACCAGACCAGCACAAACGACGGTGCGATGACGATGACAGATGACAGATGACAGCAGGCAGTAAAGTAGCCTTTTTCTCAAGGACCCGTTGAAGCGCACGGAACATCGCACAAAAAACGTCTGCACCCATCTTAATAGGAGCATCATTGATCAGCCACACCAAGCCTTCTGAATATCTGAGGATGTAGCACACAAAAAAACAGTAGATTTCTTGCCGGGCAGCAAACCGCCATACCCTAATGACCTAGTACTGAGACCAGATTTTGGATTTGGCAAAGCCCGCTTCAAAAGTAAAATTTGGTTCCCAAGGCTGGGTAGTTGAGGATGGGAACACGAACAGGTTGACCTAGATACAACAAAACTGCACTTGTGACGTACATCAGATATTTAAAATCATGGCTTGCATGGATCCAATAAACTGCACTGCAAATTCCGCAATGATTTAGATGTTGAAATAGTGTCGACTGACCCTACCTCAACCGTATTTGACCTCACGCGTTACGTAACGCGTGACCCAGTTTCACGCACATTCTTCGAACCACGCCTCACAAAAACAAGAAAAATAACCGCAGCCTCACTCGTGCGAGGCCCAACCGACGAGCTGGACAGCTGACTGGTCACTCACTGCTTTTTTGGTAGGGAAGTCCGTGGGAGAGATCGTGCGATCGCCTCCACCCCACACCCTGCAGGCCGGAAAAAGACTGAGCGCAGGAGCGCCAGCTGACCCGGCCGCCGGCCAATCCTAGAATCGATAGCGGATGACGCAACGAGCCTGACGTCACAGGCGTTTCTGGTGGCCACGCAAGACTATAGTTTCATGTCGCGACGACAGATGGCAGGGTGATGTATGCGCATCGAAACAGGAAGGAGCGCCACAAACGCGTGCAATGCAAATTTTGCTTCATTCCGTCACCATCAGACCGATCTCTGATCCGAACAAGAACAAACGTGGCTGATCCGAAACCGCGCGGTTACTTGGCAATTTCTCCACGTTATTGAACAAAGTTCAGACCATGCATCTGACGACCGTTTTCAAAAATAGGTCCGTGATCTTCGCAAAGCATTTTCATTGCATCCGCACCGGCAGACAGACAGGCGGCAGAGGTGGCGTGGAGGCAAACGGAGACAGGTGGGTAGTGGCCAAAAGAGTGCAGACTATCCTTATCACAGGAGTTACGATATTCCTGCGCTGATGTATGTTAGAGACAATGATGAAATAGCCGCCACAAAAATGAGACATAACAAAAAAGACATAAGTCTGACCTGGCATGCACCCAAGACAAATGTGAGGTGGCCCATTCCTTGCTATCAGATCCACTACGCTCTTTAAACGTCAACACTCGGCAAATGATACACAAGGCCAGGTGTACCGATGAGGATGTTTACACGACCTCAGGCGTAAGCTGTGAGGAGCGACACACCATTATCAGCTGTTGAAAATCTTGAAGCATTGGAAGAGCGAACACCTGAGCCGCGTACAAAACAAGGCAAAGTCCTCTCCCAGTGGCGGCCTTTTCAAGGAAAATTTCGCAAAGGCATTCATCCCTAAGACGAACAGCACTTGTCACATCCGTCTGTGATTCGGTGATGATGACTGGGCTTTGGGGCGCACAGACGACAGTGGCCATATGGCAAATGATGCCAAGAAAACATTCAAATGCAGAAACGGATGAGCCATTGATTAGTGGGGACAAGAAATTCATTCTCGATGAAAAGCCCTTCCTGTGCTGTCCCACTTCAGGGCATGAGAGTGGCCTCGTTTTGATTATGGTTCGATTGTCTTGTCAGTCATCATTTGCGTAAGTCGGTTCATTTTTTGTCGCCATACTGTCATGTAACAAGCGAAAATGAGTATCGACGACACTGCAGGCAACGCAGTGATACAATTGAGGCTCACGGCTGACTTAAGATGACTCGACGGGGGATAGGAAATTTCAATTGTCACATATCTTGAAGAGCTAATTCCTGACAACGACTGAGCGCGACGTTATCTCCTTACCTCTCAAAGCTAAATGCATTTGATGCACCGTACAATTAATCGAGCGAGGCCGGCCAAATGTGATGTCACGTGAAACTCACGTGTAGGATCAACCGATCAGTAACGACGTACACGTGACATGCCTACGATACGTCCAAATGACTCATATTGTTCCGTAATATACACATCTCAACCAACCCTTCCGCCTCCCGTGGGGTCTGTTCCCGTCGCTCCTAAGAAAGGCAAAAACAAACATAAAACCATGGGTTAGTTGCCTGCAGCCTTCTCCAAGTTCCTCCGAACACCACTCTTCATTTGCGAGGCATAAGGGGCAGGACTGATGTGTTTTGACTAGTTTTTAGGTTGGACGAGCCACGGGAACGATTAATTAACATGGAAGAGCTTCGAGGAGGTGAGCAGAGCAATGGGAACGGATCAGACACCTACCACATATGCACGTGCCAACGCCGTACCAAAAACTGTGGGGCCTTACAGCTGATCGCGGGCATTCGAGTAACGCAGATGGCGGCCGAAAACTGCAAACGAAATCGACGTAAGCCACCGTCAACCACTCGCCCCATTCATGCAAAACGCGTTGGCTGGTCAGTTTAAAGCTCGCCTGGTAGTGGGATCCTAGTGTTTGCAGATCATTACTTGAATGGGCATCCAATCTGCCACCAAAAAGGTCCAAACACGTGATAATGTGCTTAACGCCCAATAACGCCCAAAGTGGCCTCATATTTAATCTATCATGCCAGGCATATCGCACCAACCCGTCGTGGAGAGCTGGCGGTCGTGTCCGGGTGACCAGACACCTTACGTGGGAATCGACCGTGCGCAAAATTAACCTCGAACTCGCTGAGAATGCCTCTCCCTGCGCGAGACGAGAGCACTCCCACTGAGACAACTTGCCACGCTGGGTTGCACACCAGCGTAAATACAGAAACTCGACACCAACTGCTGACCAATACCAGCAACTTTCCTCGGAACACGGACGATTCTTCCCAACAGGTGTATTTTCAGTACATTTCACTTGACGATGCGGGGTGTGGGAAGTAGTGTTCACGCTTTCACGGCGAATTTCCGCATGGGGAACGCCCGAAGCCGGTGCAGCTCCTTCTTCGTCTTAAGCGACTTCTCGTGCTTCGACAAAGCCTTGCGGATCGCACGCGTCTTCTTGGGCCGCAGGTCCTTCGGGATGTGCTTCTTGTTCTTGTAGAACTTGCGCACGTTCTCCTTGATCGTCTGGTTGATGACGATGTTGACGCGAGCGATGTTCTTGCGCACGATGCGGATCTTGGAGAGCTTGCTGGCGGCGCCACCGGTCACCTTGGCCACGCGCAGGGCGGCCAGCTCAGTCTTCAGCTCCTCCAGCTGCTTCGTCAGCTCCTCCTTCTTCTTACCGCGCAGTTCGTGGCACTTCATTGTGTCCGTTTACTGCGGACAAGAAAGAAAAACGACGAAGTCAGTTTCAAGCGTGTATTTCTGACTCAACACACCAACATCTTACATCCATCATTTAAGAGCACAACGAAATAACATCTTCGAAGAGGGCACGGGTAACACCTGGGATAGCGAGTCTTGCAAGCGCGAGTAACAGGGCATTTAGTCGCGCAGGAGGGCACGGGATATACACATTTCATGGCAGGTGGTCCACAAACGTCGTGCACAGTGTTAAAAACATTTGGCCGCTTGGGTAGCAGGGTAACGACATAATTTAACGGCATTGCGCTCCAGTTGGGGTTTACTGCCCCTTGCTCCTCTCCCGGCTTGGGATTGGCCAATCAGTATCGAGGCGGACGGGAAAGCGGTCAACCTAGCACCCAGGCGCCTCGGACTTGGCCAAACGACCGCGCAGTTCAGATGTCTGGGTTCGCGGTCAACAGACCAGACGTCAGCAGAATGGTATGAGTGTGGAGAGCACTGGTGTCCAAGTCTCGCAGGAGGAACTTATATTTACATCTTACATAACCAACAGGGTGAATGGGATGCTGGTGGTGCTTCACTGCGCATCTGGTATCATAAACTGTGGCATGTTATTGGTTTTGTGATTGCTTTTTTGTACCACCTGCTGCACTCATATGGCTCATTTCTATTTATCACCTGATGCTGCAGCCAAAACTGCTATGAAAAATGCATGCCACATCATCATGCCTACACAGCATCCACCAAAGGGCACACTCCCCAATACACCAAATTCATTGCATGCATCTAAATGTGTGCATAATAAAACAGCTGACAATTTGGGCTGCAAATAAGAACATGCAGACCAAGAACAGTGTTTTACTTCATGCAGAAACACTGGCATGTCTGCAATGGGCTTAACTGGATATCAGAAGACTTGCTGAGTTGAGTTGTGCCTACCCCCCTCATCAAAATATAATTTGTATGCCCAACATTCTATGCCACTTCCTAATCTGGCTTCCTTTGAACCCAATGTTGTGATCCAAATTAATGATACAGAATTGCATTGAGTTGAAATACAGAGTTGCATTCACATGAACACCAAAAGGGCTGCATGAAAAAGTAGAATATAGTGGATGATTCCCATAGCTCACTAATGAACAAAATTGTTTTCATCATACACTGGGAGTCTCATGGCAGATTCTATGTGAATGTGAAACATTTTTCTGAAAGCAACATGTTCTGTGCACATTTGATCAGTACAACAGAAGGTACAAAAAACATTTGAACCTAAAACTTTTTCACAATTAAAAGGCTGGATGTGTGGTATGTAGCACACAGAAAATTAAAGGTGGAATGGCACCTTGGCACTTTCTTGTTTTATGCTATGCCATCAACAATAATTGTATGCAGGGTAAACTTGGATAACTTCAATTGTGGTTCTTCCAATGCGCTGCAGAGGCGAGCACATTTACTTCAGACACCGCATGTACATTTCATTTTAAGGCTGTTGGTGCCATCTCTTGCAACCATCAAGTCTACCACACTTGCACACTACTTCATTGTAAATTGACTTGTGCTCATATGGGTACCCCAACCAAAACACTGAAAGTGATCCCATCAGCAAAAATGTCTACAAATGAACATTATTGCAAATATTTGCAAAAACTAGAAGCTTTCATCCCATTTTGTTGGACACAGATCAGGTAGGGCATGGGCCTCAGGGCATGTCAAGTGTAATGTGCCATAGGTAATGATCATCATATGTCGTGATTGGAAACTGCACAGACAGTGTGACATGATCATAGCAAAAAGTGATGGAAGCACTGATACAAATGTTCAGTCCACATTTGCTTTTCCCAACTTTACCGGCATGTCACTTTTCTATAGATGTAAATAAATGTCAAATAATTCTGCAGATGCCAAATGCACTGCGTCTTATACAGCTAACCATAAAACTAATGATGTAAGCATATGGTTATGGTCATTAATTGCCTGCCTTGTTCATTAGTTAGTGCACCTGCCCTTTCATACCCCATCCTAGTGGGATCACAGGCGTGGCCGGAAGCCCATGGCAGCAGCCATGCTTAAGCTCAGGTGATCTCAGAGAGCAGAGCAGGATGGAGGGCATGACAGATGGTGCCTAGCATTGTGGCACATCATACTTTTGCCACCATATTCTGTTGTTAAACTAGATTTGCATAATCAGATGGTAGGGAATCGGGCTTACACAACATGCACTGCATAGCGAGCCCTGATCTCAGAAACACATCCATTAAAAAAGATTAAATGTTTTTAAAATTGTAATTGAACAGAGCAGCATGAGAGGCATGCTGGCAACTCACCAGATGCTGAGCAGTTTCTTTGCCTTAACTGGTCATGGAGCACAACATAGTTAATTCTTAAATCACAAGCCCAGATGTGAACGACCCAAGCTTACCAGCGGTTCTCAATACAATGCTCAATTTTCATTCACAAGCAAGACAAAAATGTTAGTGGTGCCATTCACACCAATCTGCCAATATTCCAAGTTTCCATAAAGCACTTTGATGCACCATGTTATTTTTTAAGATGACAGATATTCAGGGAGCTGGTGCCAACCCCTTGACCTGTAGCCATTTTGCTGCTATGTATAGTCTGGAAATTCACAACTGTGTGGATAATAAAAACAAATCAGCTTCACAAATCACACTGATCAATGATGCTCATAACCAGTCTCAACCTGTCAGAAAAACTACACAGGCCAATATTTGAAAAATACAAACTTTACAACAGCAACTGATTTAGGTAAAAAATGGCTTGGCGAACAAAAAACAATCGATGTGTGTGCAGGGCAGGGTCAAAATATGGATGTCCGCATCCTGCTGGGAATATCACCGTGAGTGCACACTTCCAGAACTCATAATCCCCAACAGCACTGTATAATTTCTTACTCGTGCAGCTAGTTGCTACTACCTTTCCTCTACACCAAACTTATGTTAAAAAGTTAACTCGTACATGAAACGGCTAACTCGCGCATAACCCGACACGCGAGTTGTGAGTTACCTTCCCACCTATGAAACAAACACTGGAAATGCGCCACATGTGTCCACACACTCAAAACGCCATACCTGCGGAGCAGCACCCCGCAATGAGTCCGAAATTTGACTCTAAGACACGCAACAGTTCTAAAAGCTTGCAATGCAAGTGGTCCCCACACAAATAACTCGAGTGATAGATTACTTACCTTCCTCCCAGTGCTTTGCACCCGGCCTGGCGGAAGTTGGCGTCTAAAAGGGGAGGGCTCCTGTGGCCGTTGGATTCTATTCGTCTTCGTTTCTGGTTAGATTCAAATTCAGAAAAAGTAACAAAGATGTTTAAATAATTGTCCAAGTTGCCTAAAGAAAAATTCACAACTTTTCTCTCAGCTGTATATATGGTTTGAATCGTGTTGCCAGAAAAGCTTCAGGAACTCAGCTCTATTTTCAAGGCACATATGGCGCAAATATCCTATATTGGACGAATATTAAATACCGTGAATAGGTACTGAGCAGTAACCTAAGCGCAGAGTAGCGCGCAATTTGGGGATTCGGGGTCTGTGGCGGTGTCTTGCGTTCCCCGTTAAGGCAAGTGGGCAGGGATGGTGATATGTATTCTTCTAAAAGGGCCCTGCACCCTCGAAGCTGGATTGGCCCCATATGTTGATGTGAGCCCCTCCAGCAGTATTGCTGGCATATTTGTTAAAAAATGAAGTTGGATTTCACTTAAAGTTAGCGTTTATTAGGCATCATCCAATGACCAGGCCTGTTGCCCTACCAAAATGTATGATTACTTTCTAACTGATAAAAAAATATGAGATGAAATTTTTTCACCAAAGTCAAACAGGCAGAACTCATTGAAAAGTGTGATTTGGTGTGTGGCTGCATTATCAGGCTGTTGGCTATGCTGTTCCCAATAATTCATACAAGCAGATGTTCTTGCTTGTGGGCCTGTGTATGTGGAATGGGTCTATTTTGCTGACATGGGCTATGGGCAATCTAGTTGCCAAAAATATACCCTCCTGCATTTGATGCCTATACAACACTTGTTACCTGAACATGGCTTTGGCATGCAGGAAATAATTCCTGGCTAAACTATTTTGAACATCAAATTACTCTATGTAAAAATATTTGAAGCATTTTTCCTGAAATAAATTCTGCTACATCATAGGTTCCTTGAATCATTGGTTCTGTAGCAGCCAAACTGGGTGGTGACTATGTGAGCAGCCTCCTGCACATGGATTTACTGAACTGATCTGCTAAAATCATTGCCACAATTTTTATGCTACACTGGGTATGTTTGGCAACATGCACTTTTTGCACTCTGTCAGAAAATCCCATGCTCATCCCATCACCTCCTATGTGCCCTTGGGGAATCACCTTGTTTAGGTGCGTGGTGCAGAAGGGATGTGAGGTGTGAAGTACAGGATAGCAAATAGGCAAGCTTCATAAAACAAGGAAAGGCAATTGGATGCTCTATGTGATAGCCCATACCATGTCTACCTACCTATCATTGCATGTTCATGAGATACACTATTTTCAGAGGACCCCAAGACTGGCTTAGAGACCATTAAGGCATGATTATAAAAAGAAAAATATGATTAAGATGTTGCAATCTTTGGGTAGATATATGTCTACATAAAGATCTTTAATAAAATGCAAATAAAATAGTAAACCAAAAATAGTCAACTCTAAGGGACATCATTTCTGTTTTGTATGCCTGCTTGGATTGTTTTTTGCTGCTGGTGTTTTGTTTAGGGTTTGGAATGTTTTGGATGGATGAAATTGACATTGACATTGTAGTTGACAATGACATCCGACATTGGGGCCTTAGCATATTGCATACTAGATGCGTACATGACTTGGGTCCATGAAATTTGTGCTGGTGGCATATAGCAAGGCCTTGTCTGTATACAAAATTTGACTGTCACACACAAGCTCAGTGTAGAAAAGCTGGATGTTTCCTGGTATAATGTATACCAGGAGATTTTGTACCCCAGGATTGTGACTAGGTATAATGTGCTATTTTGTACTCTATCATGATGCAACAAGAAAAGCCATGGGAAAAATTCATTTTACCTCTTTGTGTCAGGACAAAATATAATCAGAAGGTGCAATAGCTTGAGACTTCCTGCTTCCATCAGGAGCCATATATTGATATCTGCAAGAGCACAAATCTTGCACCCACAAGACTAAGATGCTCAATGACAAGCAGCCTGTGTTGCCACCTAGGCATATGATCATAACCATGTTAGGAAATGTGAAAAATGAAGCGTGTGAATGTTGAATAGAATCACCTTTGAACAATGCAGGGAAATGAGAAATGAGTACCAGAATCAGCGCCGGTCTGTAGATTAGCAAAGCGCTCACTTCCTATGCCCTATGCAGACTAACTCAAGCTTGAACATGACGTAACCTACCATTGACGATAAACTGCATTAATTGCCAAGGACTGCAACAAACATCCATAGAAAGCCGCAGGACCCAATCACCTGCAAAATGGCCGCCTGCCCAGGTGCCACTGCTGTGTCCATGGCAATGCAAACAAAAGAATTGCTCGCAATTCAACATCGGAAATGTCCCAACTATTCAGTGGCTTGCGCCTGCCTCCCAGCTCAGGTTGGAGGTTGAACATAGCAAAGCTCTCCAATTGGTTTTAATGATTCACCTCCTCATGGACTGGTTTGTCAAGAGCCTAAATATTCTGCTCGCGCTTATGCCTTGAACAGATTTGTAGACATTTGGAGGGAAGCTGTATAGAGATGGGCATCACGCTCATGAAGAGTGACTTATTTGTACTCATACAGAGCCGCCATGTGGCCTGGATTTTTGGCCACTGCCTGGTATCCGGAGTACAAAAATGTTACGGCAGCTGTGGCTCTAAACCACGTTAAATTTGTCACTGAAGGGTGTGAAATTAAAGCTGGTAATTCCGGCTTTACAAAGATACCCTTTTAAGTCGAAAAACGTTGCTATAAATAAAAAAACTGTTCGGAGGCGGCCATCCGACTCCGGCAAAAACACCAGGACACCAGAATAACATGAACCCATAACTTTGGCCTGGCAAATTAAGGAGAAGGGTTCATTAGGACAAAAACATAAATTAATTGCAATATAAATGGTCATATTTCACAATGACATGGGTTAAAGCATATCAAAATCAATTACTACCATGCATTATCCGCCGGAGTCAGCGGAGTGACTGACTCCGATTTCTTTTGGGCGGCCTGCACGGGTCTGGCAGGCATTGTACGGTAGCGTCGGCTGGGCAAATCGGTTAAGAGTACTGCCTGTTTTTATTGTTTGGGTGGGACGTACAGGGCCTCGTGTGTTGATCGGGAGTGGGAAGGTGGAGAGCACGTAGGTTTAGCTGTTTTTAAAACCAGTTGGCTGGAAGAGCGCGGGTAGCGTGAACGTGGTGGAGCGTGAGCAGCGTGATCGTGATGGAGTATGAGTAGGTGGCCGTCTGTGGCAATTTGGAGAGTGTATAAGCCCGATGTGTAATTACCCTCTGTTTTGGAGCGTGTACACACAGAGCCTTTCATAAGTTGCGAACCAATGTATATGCGCATGTTTTTCATAGTACGGAGTATGAGACTGTGTTGTTTCAGTGTGCCATGTTTGATACTGATGTTTCCTTTCATTTAAAGTGCTTTTATATGAATTGCTACATATGAGAAGTGGCTCTTTTGTTGAGTTGAACCCATTGTACTATTATCTCTCAAAGGGAAGCCTAATTAAGGCTGTAATGACCTGCAGTTCTTGGATAATTGTATTCTCCACAATAGGAAATGTGTATTCTGCTGCCAGGAAAATCTTTGGAATTTCCAACACTGCGCCAGATCCTGCTTTGTGTCCTGTTCATTACTAAAATATTGTTTGATAGACTCAGCCACACATTGGACTGCACATGAAATACTGAAAACCATTAAAGCATGTTAGAACATGATGTCAGTATCGGAAATTTCAAAATATTTTTGTATGGTAGCAGGGCACAAATTTTCCAAAGAGGAGTGCAAAATTTCCAAGTGATGTGATTCATTACACTTTTATTTAGGTTATCTTGGTGAGATTACAGTATATTGAGTGGTACTCGACAGAAACACCACTTTTCATTCACAGCAATCCATGTAAAAGTACTTCAAATGAAAGAAAACATCAGTTTTAAACATAACATGCTGAAGCACCACAGTCACCAATGCTTATAACATGAAATTCATGCACATATATGTGGTATGTGATATGTGATGTCATGATGACATCATACAGAAACCCCGGAAGTTGACTGAGCTATGTTAGCTAGCATGTGACTTCACTTTAACAATCACTGGTCTTGGTGGTTTTTTGTGACACCCTCCCCTTATGTCTTACACAGCTCTCACATGGCTCTGTAGCATTTAGGCAGTTTGGTATTGAGTGGTGTTTATGCAACAGTAGGCTCTCTGTTCATCAAACATCAAATTTATTCATTTTATTTCAGGTGGCAGCAAACTGATGAATGGCATCAGATGACTGCACGCTCAGTCATGGCATCAGTGAAACTGGAAGTCATGACAGTGAATCAGGAAACATTGCCACTAGCTGACCAGGAGTCTGCAGAAGCGGCCCTCAGTAAGCCGCCAAAAACATCCATGCTGATGTCGGCGCTGACGGCGCCGCCGAAGACACGGAGCCAGCCGGGCGCGGTGTCCGAGCCGGCCACCGCGCCTCCGTCCACACGGCGGCTGCTGGTGATGCGGGCCTCGTCGCCCCCGGACGGCGGCGGGGAGCGGCGGCCGGCCGGGCCGCGCCGGCAAGTCCAGCTGCAGGTGACGGCCGTTGGCGGCCGCGTCCTGGCGCTGCCCGTGGTGGTCGGCCGGACGGCTGGTGCTGAGAGCCCCCCGCAGCGCGCCGCGCCCTCCAGCAGACCGACGCCATGCTGGCTGGAGAAGGACAGCCCCGGCAAGGCTGACCGCGTCGCCGCCGGGCTCGAGACCGATCCCAAGCTGGCCGCCGAACCGGCCGACTCCGAGGGCGAGGAGGCTGGCGCTCCGCAGACGGTGGCTGCGGAGGAGGAGGTGGGAACGGCGGAGGAGGCGGGAGCGGTGGCGGAGGAGGGAACGGCGGCGGAGGTGGGGGGAGCGGCGGCGGCGGACGAGGTCGAACAGACAGAGGAGCGGCTTGGGACGGGACTGGAGGAAGTCGAACCGGCGGTGCAGGAGGAGCCAGGACTGGAGCTGGAGAAGGTCGGGCCGGTGACGGAGCAACGGCCGGCCTCGCACATCGTCCTGCAGGTGGAGCGCAACGCGTCGGAGCCGACGCCGACCGCGGCCGGCGAGCACCATCTGATCGTGAGCGTGGACGACGGGTCGGACGCGGTGACGCTGCTGGTGGACCGCCTGGAGGAGGACGGCGTGTACGAGCTGGCGGGGCCGGCGGCGTCCGACTGCGAGCTGCTCGAGCTGTGGGCGTGCGGCACCGACGGCGGCGAGCAGCGGCCGCTGGAGACGGTGCGCGAGGTGGACCTGGTCGACATCCGCGCCGTCTGTGAGACGTGCGGCTGTGCCATCAGCCACTACATGGTGGGCCTGCTGGCGCGCGAGGACGGCTCCGAGTACGGCTACCGCTGCCGCATGTGCCAGAGTGTGTTCCGCGACGTGGACGACATGGCCTGTCACATGGACTCGCACCGCTCGCCGGCCGACACGCGGTGTCGTTTCTGCTCGTGCGGCCTGCAGAGCCTCCGCCAGGCGGCCAACGCCCGGACGTGGGTGTGCCACGCGTGCAAGCTCACCTTCGGCACGCGCCAGGAGATGCTGAAGCACCGCGAGCAGCACCCGCTCAAAGAGCGCTTCCCGTGCGAACTCTGCGACAAGGCGTTCCAGATGAAGGTCCAGCTGGAGGTGCACATGCGCTCGCATCTGGGCCACAAGCCCTACTCCTGCGACATGTGCCCGGCCACCTTCGTGCAGCCGAGCCACCTCATCAACCATCGGCGCACGCACACCGGCGAGCGGCCGTTCTCGTGCGAGCAGTGCGGCCGCGCGTTCGTGCAGCAGGGCCACCTGAAGGCCCACCTGCGCACGCACACGGGCGAGCGGCCGTACAGGTGTGACGTGTGCGACCGCGCCTTCCGCCAGTCGGGCCAGCTGACGGCGCACCGTCGGCTGCACGAGAGCGGCACCGTCTACCGCGTGCGTCGGCAGCACGGCGAGCCGATCGACCCGCAGGAACTCACCTGCAGGGAGTGCGACAAGCGCTTCAAGGCCATCAAGGACCTGCGCCGGCACATGCTGGTGCACAGCGGCGGCACGCACGAGTGCGCCATCTGCCGGCGCTTCTTCAAACGTTCAGACCACCTCAAGCGGCACATGCGCCAGCACGACAAGCCGGCGCGGCCGGCCCGACCGCGCGGCCGTCGGCGCAAGGCGAGCGCGGAGCGCGGGCCGACGGGCGCCGACCCCCGTGGCCTCGCGCTGCTCGACAACATCATCGACGGCGTGCTGGAGGTGGAGGGGGACGCGTCGTGGACGCCGCCGGCGGGCGAGAGTCGGGGCGCCGCCGACTCGGACGCCGGCGACGTGGAGGCCGAGACGCTGAAGGAGGCGTTGCGCGGCTGGAAGCGACGGGTGTGTCTGTCCGACCGGCGCCCGCGGCGCGCGCACCTCAGAGACGCAGCGTGCCCCGAGCGAGGAGGACGACGGCGACCTGCGCGGCTGTAGTCGGCGACCGGTCAAGGAAGAGGACAGCGAGGAGGAGGAGGAGGAGGAGGAACGGTCCCTGAAGCTGGAGATGGACAGCATGACGTGGGCGGGGGACGACAGTGCGGGCCGGGCGACCAAGGCCGAAGAGCCGGGCGACCACGAGCCGGTGGCGGCCGACGGATCCGACCTCATCTGGGTGACGTTGGACGAGGACGAGGCTGAGGAGTCACCAGCGCCCAGGGCGCAGCGGAGGCGCCGGGCGCCGGCCGGTCCGGCTCCGGGGCTACGCGCCTCCCGACGCCGCACCGCCGGCAACCGGGCGGCTGATGTGGGCGTCAGTCTGAGCAGGAGCCGCAGAGGCCGCGCGCCCAAGCGGTGATGCCCGGGCTGTTGGGGTGGGAGCTCATCGCGGGCTCATGCTAGTGAGGCTAGATATTAGATGTTACGTTAGTGGTATCTGTGCAAGGCAGGAGCCCTGCGTGGGTTTGTCGACAGGCGTCAATATTCTCGCTGCGGCATTCGTGCGGCATGCTTCGATCGTTGTGTGGATGGATCGATGGCGCGGCTTCGGTGGTTGCTGCACCTCTGCCGGTCGGTGTTGCTTGTTAATACAGTCACATGTATTGCCTTGTCGTCAAATATACGGCAGCAATGTGTTCGGTGATCCCTTTGTCATGCTGAAGCCGTTCGTACAGGGCCGCCATCTTGGCACGCCGGGCGTATTTATATGGGCCGGTCGCTTCGTGTTCAGGATTCGGAAGTGAAGCCAGCCATGTGCATGTAAATCCGCTGCAGGCTGACTGACTCATGACGCTTGCGTGCGTGACTTTAAAGGTCAAGCATATGCTTTTCTGTCTGGGGTCAGTTTGTTGCGCAGGCTCAGAAAACTGTACTTGTAACGTTGTCTTAAAGTGTTTGTCACTTATGTTGGTATGCGAAAGATTCGTCCGGTATCGTAACTTAACAGGCTAACCGGACGGTTCTTTACAGCCGGTTAACAGATCACAAGCAGCGCACAGCACCATGTACCAGGCCGACGTGGGATGTACCCTGTACCAGGCCGACGTGGGATGCACCCTGTACCAGGCCGACGTGGGATGTACCCTGTACCAGGCCGACGTGGGATGTATCCTGTACCAGGCCGACGTGGGATGTACCCTGTACCAGGCCGACGTGGGATGTACCCTGTACCAGGCCGACGTGGGATGTACCCTGTACCACGCCGACGTGGGATGTACCCTGTACCAGGCCGACGTGGGATGTACCCTGTACCAGGCCGACGTGGGATGTACCCTGTACCACGCCGACGTGGGATGTACCCTGTACCAGGCCGACGTGGGATGTACCCTGTACCAGGCCGACGTGGGATGTATCCTGTACCAGGCCGACGTGGGGTGTACCAGGCCCAGACGTGGGATTTACCCAGGCCGACGTGGGCTGTACCCAGGCCGACGTGGGATGTACCCAGGCCGACGTGGGGATGTACTCAGGCCGACGTGGGATGTACCCAGGCCGACGTGGGATGTACTTGTACCAGGCCCAGACGTGGAATGTGCCCAGGCCGACGTGGGATGTACCCAGGCCGACGTGGGATGTACCCAGGCCGACGTGGGGATGTACTCAGGCCGACGTGGGATGTACCAGGCCGACGTGGGATGTACTTTGTACCAGGCCCAGACGTGGAATGTGCCCAGGCCGAGTGGGATGTACCCTGTACCAGGTCCAGACGATGTGGATGTACCCAAGCCGACGTGGGATGTACCCAGGCCGACGCGGGATGTACCCAGGCCGACGTGGGATGTACCCTGTACCAGGCCCAGACGTGGGATGTACCCAGGCCCGAGTGGGATGTACCCAGGCCGACTGGGATGTACCTGGCCGACGTGGGATGTACCTGTACCAGGTCCAGACCGATGTGGATGTACCCAAGCCGACGTGGGATGTACCCAGGCCGACGCGGGATGTACCCAGGCCGACGTGGGATGTACCCTGTACCAGGCCCAGACGTGGGATGTACCCAGGCCGACGTGGGATGCACCCAGGCCGACGTGGGATGTACCCTGGCCGACGTGGGATGTATGGCCTCCGGTAGTGCATAGCTTTTTGTTGCGCTTGGCAGACACTTCACACCTTTGAAGGCACCAGCAGTAATCGGTCAAAATGTTGACGCTTCTCCAACCTTGCTGGCGTTCCTCTATCACCGGAATGCCCTGGTGAAAGTGTAGTCCTGCTGTTTACCGAGGTCCCCATAGTTTCCGGAAAACAGCCGAGATGAAATCTGAGGAACTGCATTTTCATCGATATGTTAGCACCATATCGACGGAAACTCTTCAAAAGCTCGTTACGTGTATGGGTAGTGTGGTGGTTACTCGGCCTGAGGAGCCAGAGGTACGGTGTTCGTTTTCCCGTTGCGCCTGTCTTCCTGCAAGGGTGACAGGCAGGTGGCGCCATGTGGTCTCAGCAGCTGAGAGCGTCATAGCGTCTCAATGACAACAACAATAGCTCATCATCAGCTTCCTCGTACTCTAGACTCCGGTGGTTGCTTAGAAAATTCGCGATGCTCGACTTCAGAGTCGGCCAAGCATAGAGTTCGGGGAGATCAGATGCCATACCGGAGGAATTGTCCTTGATGAGCTGACTTATATCAGGCCCATTTCATGTCACCAGCTTCAGCTTCTCCCCGTTTATCGGGCACCCCTGTCGCAGAAAAGTGAATCCTTCACCTTCTTTGTCAACCACCTTTACCACCCTTTTTCCTGTACCGAGTTTGATGCGCACTGCTGGAAGAAGATTCTTGCGCGGTTCTACAATAGGCTGCAACAGAACATTGTGTGAACCGGGCTGTAGTCCTGGCCTAGACGGCCATTCTTTTGACATCAATGCTGGTCGCTTGCCCGGCTGTTCCACAGACACGTGAAGCATGGGTGCTTCGTGTGCCCACCTTGAAGTCATGCGACGAGAACTACCTCGAGATCTCCACAGTTGTGTGTGGCATCTGTGGAGTGTCTGTTACGCTTGTGGTATTTGTGACCATACCGCACGACTCGCGGTGTGTCGACGCCCACGATTAGCGATAAGAGCGGTCACCAAATAGTAGCGGAGCGAGCGGTCAGAATACCCACGCGGTGAAAGCTGCAAGGATCAGTTGTGTTACGATCACCAGATGGCACTAGAAGCGATCAAGCTAGAATAGATGGGTATGCCATGGCCGAGCTGTCAGCGCATTGGACCTGCACGTGGAAGGCCCGGGCTCAAATCCCGGTTGTACCATGGCCCCTCATCTTTAACGTAGCCGACGCCGTTGCTGCCGGTCGATCGAAGGGGCGTGACGACGCGCTTTCCGCTTCCTTTAAAAAATCAAGAGCGAATATAGATTTCGCGACTGGACTTCAATCCAACTTTCCTCTCCAGAACAACTACCATAGCTAACGCCAGCTGTTAGAGCGCCGCCTTTACAGTTTGCGCAGGTTTTGCTCACGGGCTTGCATGAGGACAGAGCCAGTAAACTGCCGATAGCAGCGGTCGCTGCGCTGCGAACGAGCCCGCCGCGGAGGTTCTGCCCAGCGCAGCGACGTCTCAGGGCCGAAGAAGGGTTCCTGAAGCGTAGGTACTCCTCGTCTACACCGAGCCGCGCTCGGAGCAGCAGCGGCAGTGGCCGAGGCGCGATGTTCGCGACGGCTGTCCGGCCGCGGGCGACACGAGGCCATGCTGCGTGGCAGTGGGCGAAGCAATGGCCTCTCGTCTGCCGTTGGCGGTGCAAACCAGAGCAACAATCTGGTGCATGCAGATGATTTCGCTAATCTTCCTGGCGAATATCAAGATGATGATTATCAACGGAGTTTTTTTTTTGTGTCTCTGCAATGTAACGACATTGCAAAACAGAAAAAATATTGGCAAGATCAAGCTCGAGTTCATCACCAAAAGTGTAGATGGGCTTTGGTCGACATTTGTTTTTAGTTATCACAATTAACAACTATTTTGTAACCAATACCTTTCAACACTAGGCGATGTTATCGAATAAGTCTCTTCTCACGATTTCATCGCTTCCACATAAATTGTCTTCATTTCTTATTGCAAGGTATATGTGAAAATGTAGCGGTTCGAAATGAAGCTCAAAATGTTTCTTTTGTTGGCTCTTTGTGGAGCTGAATGAATCCAAGCCGAAGAGATATCAGCAGTCTGTGAAACGTTTCGAGCCAGCTGGTCTGCCTGCTATACCAGCCATTTTAATCAAATTGTTACCGGCGCGGATTTCCCCCTTCAATTATGTAAGTGTTATGTCTCTACCACCATTAATGGCATGTACTTGGAGCTTTCAGTAGCGAGAAACCTAATTCGGTACATTTGGTTGGTAAACCTAGATATACTTCTCCAGACACTTGAAGAAAATTTGTTTAATCGGCATTAATCTTCTGCATAATTACGATCGGAGCAAATTATGATCATCGCTTTCCCCATACCATTCATATGGTTCATGTACCATTCCGTACTTGGGAAAATCTGTATGCTGCCGTGGGAAACCGGATTCAGAGGCAAAAGTCCAACACATATTGACCTAACCGTTTGCTTGGAAAGAACGAACCATCCCGTTTGTTAGGAGAGAGCGGGCAACCGCGACGGTGAAAGTTTGGGCTGATGTGCTCTGCCGGCGCGCGCTCTCGGCCGCAAACAGACCCGTGCAGGGGCTGATACAGACACGGGCACCAGAGGAGAAAGCAGAGTGATAACAACGCTGCCTGACCCCCACCTGCACCCATTAATGACCAGCGGGCAGCCAATGTTACTCCTGGAGGCGGTCTCCAACGCCACGCTCTGTGGCCTGAAACATAAAGCTGCAAGCGCGTGTATGCCGTGGTGGTGGCCATTGTGACCATCATCTAACCAAAGTTTGCAATGCTTCAGATGCACCCACCAACAGCAGTAAATCGTCGCTTATAGATCGATGACATCGGCTGACTGTACCACGCATGCGAAAACCCATAGCCAGACAATTTCCAGGCCATATGGACTCGTAGCAAATGTGACTAAAGGGGAAATGAAATTCTGCCCGCAAGATTTCACAAAAGATGGACCTTCCAACGGACTGACCAGACACATCCGTGTAGTTTCTGAATGTGTTTGGCTGCGTTAGTTGATGCTTTTGCATCATCCACAAAATGACAATCGATAGCACCGGTCTTTACATCAGTATGCTAGTTCCACGTTGTGCAAGGTGGATTACCGGTCAAAATATATATTGATCCCGCTGGGTCTGCGTTAACTCGACCCCGGTCTTTGAAACGTCCGGTTCGTCCGACTTAAGCTATGGCCTCCCTGATCCACAAATAAGGAACCTTTGGTAGGATATGGCCCTGTCCTGAACTAAATGCTACGTAAGTCAAGGGGAGGGGTTACAAAAGGAGCAGAACGATTACGGAAGACTGTAGCTCTGTGGCCAGCTCTGAATGCAACGACTGGAGGACGCCTGTAAGTTCTGAACTGTCATACTAAGTAGCATGCTTCCACTGTTGTGAGGCATCGAAAGCCTTCTGTTCATGTTATATACATATGCACACACACACACACACACACACACACACACACATATATATATATATATATATATATATATATATATATATATATATATATATATATACTTTACTCCGTATAGATATTCCTACGCCTGCAACAAGAAGCATTTCGACGAAAGCTGGGGTGTTACAATATCTGGGGGCATTCAAGCCTAGGCTCACTTCAAACAATCGCATCAGCCAGGCCACCCATTGCATTTGTCAGTTATGCACCACCAGCTTTCCGCCAGCGACTCAGCTTCACTGACCCGCAGCCGACCCCCAGAAATCCCCGGTCCATGACCTGTGTCACCGCCGACCGCGGGCAGCCCGTGACGTCACGCTGACCGGTGACGTCAGAGCGGCGGTCGGCGGCCGGCGGCGGCGGGCTGGGTCGGCGGGCCGGCCAGTGCCGCGCCGTCGCTCTCAGGTGACGGGGTGGGAGCCGCTGGGTCGCACGCCGACACCCAACGCCGCGCGGGACATGGCTCGGTGACGACCGCGCCTGCTAGGCGACGCTGTAGCGCGCACGCGGAGAACGTGGCATTGCACCCTCGGCTTGTGCGTGATTTCAATCGGTTTTAGCGCGTTTTAGGTGGTTTTAGTGTTGGCAGGAATCGGTTGGTGACGCCGCCATGCCGCCCCCAGTGCGTCTGCAGTATGTGGTGCCTCTGGTCATCGCGTACGTGGTGGCGCGGTCGGCGCTGGCTGACATGAACAAGCCGGCGGTCACCGTGTCGTACGAGGTGAGCTCTGCCCGGCCGGCGCCTCACGTTGTGCCACTCGAACATCACGCCACGCCGACGCCGTCGGCCCACATAGACCCGGTGAACGAGAGCGACACCGGCTACCGAGACCCGCTGTTCGGTCCGCACGACCCCAACCGCCACTACCACCACGGCAAGGAGAAGCAGTACTTCCAGGTGGGCGTGGTGGACTTCGAGCGGGTGCGCACGCCGTTCGTCATCGGCTCCTGGATCCTGGCGGCCAGCCTCGCCAAGATTGGTGAGTGGATGCGGCGGGGGGAGACACCGGCGCCGCCCGGCAGGTCCTGATGCTTCAGTGGCGTCGAGCACGCGCATTAGAAGGTCTCGGAAAATGACTCGCCCGCCACGAACGGAAACAGCATGCTCACACATCACACTCCGTTTCTCTTGAAAGGCATAAGAGGTAGATCCACGGAACTGATAGGGCAGGCAGGTATTGTAAGGCAGTTTGCTATGGACTAAATGCGTGACCTTGGGCTAACATCCTTAAGGTCAAATCAGGCTCCAGATGAGCCCCCAGCTGGCCGATCCAGTAAGAGGGCGGTCTGGCGCTGCGTGTAATTTCTGCTGCGTTGGCCCATATTCGAAACCATTTCCGGCCACTTCTGCTCTGCTTCAAGCGACGGGTAGCGGACTTATTTGCAAACAGGCAACAGATCACGGACGCGCTGCTCCTCAGTGCGCAGATTTCACGATAAAAATGCTGGAGGGGCATCCCCCTTTCCAGAGTGCGTGGTTGTCATGGCACCTGACCGGTACAAGTCCGTTGACGTCTGCTCTAGATCTCAGGGAATGTTGAATGGCCACTGACAAAGAATGGTAGAAGAACTGGATCGTCGTGATTAAGACTACGGGTAACTGGAATGCGGCTTGTTACCAAGCCAGGGTTTCATTTGCAGGTACATAAAAAATCGCGCAGATACAGCCATTCACTGCGGAAGTTCCATAGAAAACCGAAGGGAGTGTTTCGTCAACTATTCATCATTCCTTACAATTCCATCGACCAACCTACCAGATGGTTGATGGTGTTGCAGACGTGACGTTGCTGGTGAAATTGATCCATAAAAGACGATTGACGAACCAACCGAACACTTCTCAAGGAAAGGGAGATGGTCAGATGGGCTGTTGCTCGCTTTATTAATGTAACGGCTTTCTTGACTCCTCCAACAATCATCAATGCAGGTTAATGCGCTAAAAGACTGTGTTACCAATAGCAGCTTCGCCCCCTTTTTGGGGGGGTGAACATTCACTGTTCGAACTTCCCTCAGTAGCTGATGCGCTCGCCCAATGGAGCCGCCTCCGTGGTAAACGAGCCAGTGCCGTGTCTTACTGCAGTGCCTCTGCTGCCGTTCTGACCAGATGGGTACATGACCGTCAGACGACCCTCATCACCACGACTGTCTACTGACTTGAACTCAGCTGTCATCACCATACAGGTGTATATGGACCGCACAACCATGGAGTCGCCACGGGTTGTGCACGACATGTTGACAAATATGTGGAACTGTTTAACAAATATTTATGGACGAGAGATGCATGGAATCGACTGAATGAGCTGCTCAAATGGGCCGTTTGTGTTTATTCAGGACGGTAAACTGTAGCAACCACAAATCCCCTTTGCTTATGCCAGACGCAGACTAGCAAATGGCCAAATGAGAAGCGCTGACTTGCTAAAATAGCAAGGAGCTAACCTTCACAGCAATCGTTTCACTTCTTGTAGCGCCGGAAGGCGCGTATGCTCCACATGGGCAAAGAACTGTGGAAAATAGCGTTTCCCTGACTCATCCAGGACAGTGAGGTCCAAGCGGATCGTTAGGCGGGCCGGAACTGATTGAGCGACCTCCGAACAAAAACAGCCCTAATTGATGCGCTAATTGAACCAGTGAAAGTCACGGCGAATTGTAGAACATGCTTCTCGTACACCGGTAAGTGCAGCTGCTCGGAATCTGCCTCATCCGGTGTATCAAGTGCTCACCGATTACCGGGGATGTTGTCACATTCAGTACACATTCTGAGAAGAAAAAAAACGCCATGTCCCAGCCGGGCGGAGCGGCGGATGTTGTCATCATAAACTGAGCACTGAACGCACAGTGTCGCCGCAAACGGCGCATGGCGCCGAGGCGCCCATGCCTGGGTGGCAGGGCGAGATGTTAATTTCACAAATATTGGTGCAGTCGTCACAAGGAATGATTTCGCTATTTTGTAGCAAAGCATGTAATACATTTTGGTTAAGAATGGAATTACTTGTAGTCTTTTGGGCGCAGCGGCCAATGACGACTATTCGTCTAATGCATCGTGTTCATTGGAAATCAAATCTTTTATTTCATACACGAGCTCAACGGTCTACGAATCGTCACATGGACAACATCCGTGACGAATTAAAAGGAAATCAAATGAGATGCGATTTTATAGCCCATAGGGCTCTATATTATCATTTACAAAAAATGAACACAAGAGAAAGAAAACTTTTTTGCCTTGTAGCAATGCCCGATTTCATGACGTTAATATGAGATTCTATTATGTTGAAAATACCGACGATAATTTGTGAATGACAGTTGCTTTCACTGACGTGAGAATCTTTTTCACTTTGGTTTTAAATGGCTTGACCGAAATGGCCTCTGGACTGGTTGGATCACGTGACATCCGGGGTCTTGGACTATCGGGGAAATTATGGTGTGGGATCGGTTCATATATATTCAGTGTCATATATACATCAAAACCTTGGTTGCATAGTGTCGATTGGCGGCGTGGTGTTCCTAGATCAGCCGTAGCGGCCAATACCAAATATCAGCCTGATATATATCACCTTTTGGCACTGCAATCGCTGGAAGGTCATAGTTGTCAACGCTTGGATTAACGACATCAGCGACTCAAAAGGATCGTGAACTTTATTTGGGTTGAGTCAAATGTTAATCCCTGTGGGAAATTACATAAGATATATGAAGCCTAAGTTTAAAAAAATATTTACGAACATACCATCCGGTGCAAGCAAGCGCAAGATCGCAAATCGCTGAAAATACCAAAGTTGAATTTAGGATCGCCGTGGCTTTTGAATGATGAACAGATTGCGTTCACCGCGCATAGGAATACCCCGACCCAGAGTGATCTCTGAACTGGTTTGGTCACGTGGCATCTGAGTTCCTCAAATTTCAGTGCCGGCATGACGCCGGATCGATTGTCTATGTTACGGCATGGCTTCCACGGCACTAAAGCGTAGCATTCCGTTAGTGTGATCAGCTGTGATGTAAACTGGATCATCCGGTACAAATCCGTCGACACCTGCTCTAGGTCTCAGGGAATGTTGAATGGCACCGGAAAAAGAATGGTAGGCGAACCGGATCGTCGTAATTACGACTACGGGTAACTTGAATGCACCAAGCTAGGGATTTTCTATGTTACAGCATGACTCGCACTGCACTAAAACGTGGCTCTTCGTTTGTGTGACCAGGTGTCACGTAAGCCAGATCTTCCATCTTGTTTTTGGTTCAGTTAGTGACAAAACGCTGACCAATGCATAACATGCAGCTATCAGTAACGGTCGCATTTTGGCCTTACCGTGCAAAGGCCGATTGAACGTCAAGTAAGACAACACAGCTGCGCCTATATCTTGAGTTTGACCTTGGGTTATCGCTTGGAGTCATACCTTTAAATGCGTGACGAATCGCTTACATCCGGTTGGTTGGGGGGTTATTACCGAACTGCCTTCAGGTCTCAACGAATTTGATTGGGCTGTCGATTACCATCGAAAAGGAACATCGAATTCCTTCCAACTTTACATGCGTAGATGAAAGAGGCTACATGCACGTGAAAATTGTTTGTAGCTCGCAATTTCAGCCTTCAAACGACGTCCTGTGCGTTTCTTGGAGCCTTCCTTGTAATCGAATCGGCGCTCAGACCGATTTGCATCGCTTGGCGGCCAGGGTGGTGCTCCCCAGAGTGCACCGGTGCTCCGGGGTATGGCCGAGCCAGACCCCCAGCTTTCTGCGGTCACTGGCGACCGCTGGCGTTCCGATCCGGGGGCGCCCCAAGGTCGTGTCGCTCCGTCACACAGCCGTGCCGTGTGGACAGACAGTCAGGCGGCCGCACAGTCCTGTCGGCTCCGTCACACAGCCGTGCCGTGTGGACAGACAGTCAGACGGCCGCACAGTTCTGTCGGCTCCGTCACACAGCCGTGCCGTGTGGACAGACAGTCAGACGGCCGCACAGTTCTGTCGGCTCCGTCACACAGCCGTGCCGCGTTGACAGACAGCCATGCAGCCGCACAGTCCCATCGGCTCCGTCACACAGCCGTGCCGCGTTGACAGACAGCCATGCAGCCGCACAGTCCCATCGGCTCCGTCACAACAGCCGTGCCGCGTTGACAGACAGCCATGCAGCCGCACAGTCCCATCGGCTCCGTCACACAGCCGTGCCGCGTTGACAGACAGCCATGCAGCCGCACAGTCCCATCGGCTCCGTCACACAGCCGTGCCGCGTTGACAGACAGCCATGCAGCCGCACAGTCCCATCGGCTCCGTCACACAGCTGTGTCGGGCTGACGACAGGCAGGCGGCCGCACAGATCTTTTGGCTGCGTCAGTCAGGCAGCAGCACAGTTCTGTCGGCTCCTCCACACAGCCGTACCATGTTGACAGACAGACAGAGGTATTGCTCTGTCACACAGACTGACACCTGGAGCTGGCACCGGCGGTCTCGAGCACCACCAGACAAGAGGTCCAGGGAACTGCAAGGCGATGGGTTCAGAGCGCCAGTAGACAAGGGATCCAGCTCCAGAGTGCCATCAAATAAGAGTCCAGAGTAGATGCACGGATACATGAAGATCGTCATGATCGGGAATACTGTCACTGATGCCGAGTATCGGAGCATGTGGAGAAGGCCTGGGCACCTTTCACTGGCGTTCCGAGCTATCATACGTGCAGACACTTATGTGAGCAGCAGCTGGTGCCATGACATGCCCACCTAGTGTGTCAGCGAAAGGAGACATTTGGAAGGCCGCAGCGAAAGCGACTGGCTGATAGCGGCTCCGTGGCTGGGGCCAATGAACTCAATTGTACAGCGGTAGCGGCCGGTAACTGAAACATGCGTTTTTTTTTATCTCAGTTAATCCCAAAGCACCGCGATATAAAACAACAGCCATGATAGGCCATAAAACGACAGTTATGATAGGTGATCTTGCTCACTGTTCATGCCTTTAAGCACCATAAGCCGGCCCAGGGTTACGAACATTTACGTGGTCGAC